GCCCACGGACAGCCAACCGTCACGCGCCACGTGTACCCCCCCAACGGCTATAACCTGACGTTACATATTCCAACGGCTATATTCTAGAAGCCCCCGGGTTTTCTACTTCACTCCACTTCATCAAGGAGAGCCTCCGGGTACACTTACCCAGAGACGCCCCCGGATTGTGCCCCACACAGCACATAACAGACACCTTCGGGACCACTCCTTCAGAAGCCCAAGGCTTCATGACAGGCCACCCCTCGGGGATTCCCCCTCAGCACCGTAAAGGCCGGTTAGCCCCCGGGGAATATACCTCATTGACGGATAGCCTACAGCACACAGGTAATGGGAGCCCTCGGGTATCTTCATCACCAACTAATCGACAAGCAGGGGACCCCCCGGTGACAACTTAACTACTGCCCTCATTCATCACGCCCTCGACCCCCCGGTACCTCCCAAATACATCAACAGCGTGCCTTTGGCAATACAACAAACATGCCCTCAGACTATGAGAGCCTTCGGCATCAACATTTCGCTTCATTTCAGACCAAGGCTTTAACCTTTTTGATTCATCCTTGGGGGAATTCGGTGCACTCTTTTTCCCTCATTAGGATTTTTTCCCACAGGGTTTTTCCTAATGAGGTTTTGAACGAGGCATCCCCCCAAAATGAAACGAAAAGCGTCAGCCTTCGGCCCACAATAGCAACGCAACTACTCTACTCCTTTTCACCACTTTACAAGTGCCTCAAGGAGTGGGGGACTGGAGGACCCCCTCGGGAAAATCACTAAAAATACAAAATGGTGAAAATTTCCAACAAACGGCAAAGCAAGCCCTCAAGTCCCGACATGTGGGTAACTGAGGGACTGCCTTCGGCAGGGACATGAAAGCAACAGCTCCTCACCAACTCCAGAGATTACAATGGGACAACATCAAGGGGCAAACAATAATTACTCCTTTTTCCCTCAAGTACCTTTCGGCAAAAGGAGTGAGGGACTCCTGATGGAGTATATGGCCCGGGAAACCCCGGCCCATAGACTCCTACTACTCAAGTAAAGGCCCAACAGGCCCAGAAGGCCCAACAGGCCCAAATCACAGCGCCCAGAGTACCAAGCAGCCCGCAATACGCGCCAGGGGTGCCTTCGGCCCCCTGGCCGAAGGCTAAAACTCTCACAGAACGGGTTTCTCGAGCAAACTAAGAAACTAGGGGAAAAACGGCAGAGAACAGTAGCCCTCGGCACCTGGAGCCCTCGGCACTCAGTGGTCCTCAGCACTAAGAGCCCTCGGCTAGTCCTCTGCAGCCGAGGGCACCTCTCCCGACATGATATCCGCCTCACATGCGTACAGATCACCGTACCCTGTACAGACGTCCCATCCAACAGCCACATTAAATGCGGCCACATGCGGCTGCCAACGCCAACCAGTTGAGGTGACCTCTCGGCCAATGGGCGCTTGACACGTGTCCCTGTCCGGCATTTATTGCTACTATAAATAGCACCCCATTTCCCCATTTGTAACCACGACATTCATACTGAATACACTCTCTCTCTTACTTACTTGTGCTCTGACTTCTCTCTAAGTTATTCTCAGCAATAATCCCTCGGATAAGCTACCCCCCGGGTACACTATCCATCAAGTTCTAATCTATAAAAACATTCTTAGTGGAATAATAAAAGTGATACTCCGTATAAAATAGTGGGATGAAGGCACTACTCTTGTCATACACACCAAAAAGTAAAATCCTTACCAAACAATGAGCGCAGCGTATACTTTGTAAAAAAAGGATGACACTCCATCCCTGAGGGCCCTAATCGTGTCTGGACGATACGTTGGGAGGAAGTAAGTTGGACTATAGTCACAATCTGACAGATAGAGAGTGGAGTCTGTCCCCGGTACTTGCAGAGGCCCTATACATTTCTAGCATAGTAACCCTCATCGCAGTTGCCGAGATTCGAACCCGAGATCTAACCCTTGTGACACTCCCTTGCTACCAGTTGAGCTACGCCCATCGGTGCAGCGTGTACTTTGTGAATTTACTATGTGGTTAATACGGAGTACAAAATAACACACCACAATTTTAAACGATGTTATTTTTACTTGGATTGTTGTCGGTCCTAGATAAGATATGACCAGACCAAACTTAAAAGACCAGATCAAATCAGATTTAAACATATTAGATGAGACCAGACTTTCTTAGTTATAAAATACACAGAGACCAAACTTTTATTACATCAAATCAGACTAGTTTAGATCAAACCAAATTCAAAAACATCAGATCCAATCAGACCAACAATTTTTTTTGAAAACAAATAACTTAATTATTATTGATGAAGATGACAACAAACATTACAATTATAAAACTCAAGGCTGCAATGGGATGAGACATAGAAACGGACGATTCTAATCGAAAACGCCGAATCGCTAATTCTGCAAAGAAGTAGACTCTACCTTCAGATTGACTGCACTTGCTACGATCACAATAATTATCAAAAGAACTCTTAAACATCCCGGTTTCTCCAGCCACCGGTAAGGAGCCAACTGTAGAATTTGTTTCGATTTCACCAGCCACCGATAAGAAATCAATCCAAATGATCTCATCTTCCTAGAACGGCGGTGGTTCAGGAAGGGGGTAATTCGTCTCAATATCGGCGCAGAAGAAAATCATGTTTTTGATTGATGAAGAGACCAGTGCAAATCTCTTCTTAGCACACAAGAACACCCGACCGACAGTGGCGGGGAATATGAATCTGTCAGACGATATTTCGCTACCGAAAATAATACCTCCAAACAACGTTGGGAAAGAAACAAATGAATAAAAGTGAAAACACTGATTAAGAAGATGTTTTTCTATTATTGAAATCAAAGAAGATTGAAAGAAGAGAAGAAAAGAAGAGAAAAAGAGGAGGCCGCGGCTAGGGGTGGGGAAAAATACCGAAATTTCGGTATACCGGACTTACCATATCGAAAAATACCGAATTTACCGAAATGTTTGGTATACCGACGCTTTTGGTACGGTGTGATACCGTACCGAATTACTTCGGTATGGTATGAGTATATATTTTGGAAACAAACGGTATACCGGTATACCGTCATACCGTAATTTCAAGTCAATAATTTCATTAAAATTGTAAAAATAACTAGAAACACAACACTAATTCAAGGATAAATGCCTTTATATCCATGTTTCTTGAATTATTTATACTTTTTGTTGGAGATCGGTGTTATTTTAGTTATATTTATGTTGTTTAAATTATTTTAGCAGAATGTGTTGTTATCTTCATATATCATGTGTTGAAATATCTATACATATTTATAATATTTTTTGTCAAAAGTTGAATAGAACACAAATAGGTTATCTCATTGGTATTTTATAATTAATTTCATTAATGATTTTAGTATATCACTATTAACACTGATTTTCTTTATTTCATTTGACATATAATAATTTGTTATATTAAATCATGGTAATTTATCGATACCGTACCTTACCGTACTGAAATTTTTGGTATACCGAAACAAGGTATATCGAAATTTCGGTATGATAACAGTATGTATTTTTGCATACAAAAAATTTACGATATGTTAAGGTATGCGATAAAATATATGCGATACAGCTATCGGTCGTCTATCGCTATGGAACGCATAAAATATAATTTACGAAATTGTAAATACATATCTATCCCACCTAAATAAACACGCGTCACACACAAATAAAAATAAATAAACATACAAACTATACGCACGCAAGTACTCAACACACATTTTAAATTGTGAGAATAAAATACTATTATCACAATACTATATTAGACCCTTTTACTCATTTTATATGAGAACCAAATTCGAACAACGTGATCTAAGCCATTACACGTGCTTCTCTATTATCAAAGAGAACTAATCCTAATTGCAAAATAAATATTGAACCAGAACTAACTCAACCACTCCCAAATGAACATAAAACGCCTCTTCCTTCAATTCGTGGTTTGGTTTAATTTGGATTTTTTGTCTCTCTTTTCGTACAACCTAAGTTTAAACCCCTCTAAAAGCAATAAGCAATTATGCCACCAAATCTTTGGTCATGTATATATTATTGTCCCATTGCGGTTTGTCTGACCGATCGATGAAACAAACGGATCCATGTTGGCATTCTAATTACTTTTAGAAAAAAAATGCATTTTCAGAGATTATATTAAAAGCTTTACAAAGTCGCAAAAATCAGAATCAAATTTGATAAAAATTTGATATATAAAATAAAAGATTAAAAGTAATTTGTGTTCACCAAGTGAATAGGAATTGAGACAATAATATGGGGACGGAAGGAGTATAAATGTATAATGCTTTTGAGTTGTAAATATATGAGTATAACTAAAAATATGGGGACGGACAGGGGATATTTTTTACCCTAAAAATATAGGTATTTTTAAAAATTGGGCCAGGTCAAGGCTGGCCCTCCCCTAGCTACGCCCATGCGTAGTATGATTTTTGTTCTCCATTTTAATTTGTTTTCATTCTTTTATTCTTCTAATAGAATTAAAAATACCATACTCCCTCAGTCCCTATATTTTAACTTTTTTCGTCCATCTCACTAAATTTGTCGCATATTATATTTGATAAAATCTGAATGATTACCATTAATTCTAACTTTATTTACACTATCAATCACAAAATTCCAATTTTTCTTAGTCATGAACTCCAAATGTAACCATAAGGAAAATATCAATCACAAATCACAAAATTTCACAAGGAAAATGTAATCCATCTTTTTTTTAAAATTTTGTCCTTAACAATATTCTAAAAAGACACAACGCGTCATTAGCCCACATCATGCTGTAATAAATTTCAAGAATTTGAAGATCCTATAAAGAAACAAGAATTTGAAGATGAACAACTGAGACAGCACACAGTACAAGTTATTAAAGCATGGATGATATTTTCCAAAGAGTCTAGAAGGCTGTCGCCCTTGTACCGGGGTCCACCCCTGTATCCAGAGCCCTTTAAAGTCTCCGCAAACACTACACTTCACACGACCAGTTTAAAAATCCCCTGCCCTTTTCTACAACCACCAACAATGCGCAAATATGTCTATTTCCTGCAAATGCCTGCTTCCTAATTGCTTTAAGGCCGTCCCGGACCTCGAGTCTCCGATCAGAGATTCCGGCCACCAGAGGCTGGCGATTGCCGACCTGATCAGTGACCCCGGCTCGCCGTTGAGTGCCGCGGATTTGTCCTCGAACTCTGTCATCGGCTCAAACCTTCATGTCTTTTCTCTGGCGGAGCTCAGGACGATCACCGGCGACTTCTCGCCGGCTAATATCCTTGGAGAAGGTGGGTTCGGCCCAGTGTACAAAGGTTTCGTGACGGACGACTGCAGGCCCGGTCTCGTGGCCCAGCCGGTTGCGGTTAAGGCTTTGGATTTAGAGGGGTTTCAGGGTCACAGAGAATGGCTGGTTTGTACATTTCTCAAATTAATTATGTCCGTCGCAACTCTCAGTTTTAATTAGGGAAATTACCAAAATAGCACCGAATCATACTCGGAATTCCAAAAAAAGGACTAATATCTTTTTCTTCTCAAAATAAAAGTTTTTACTGTCGTGTTAATAGTCTCATTAATTATAATAAACATTGTCGCGTTAAATGCACTGTACTGCAATTATTTGGTAGTCACAGCTACAAGATAACAGTAAATATTGCCATGTTAGTCGCATTTCGGGAATAAAAATAAAGTAGTCCTATTTTGGAATTTCAAAACTTCATTTACTCCTATTTTATGAAATCTCCCTTTTGATTACTTCTATTCTTTTAAAATTGAATTAAATGAGTTCTATTTTTGGGATATAACAATAATATTTTATTTAGAGACTCTTACTTAGGCCATCTCCAACATTTTACACCATTTTTTTACTCTTATTTAGAGACTCATACAATATTTTATCTCCAACAGTTTACACTATTTTCAACACCAAAAAGGAATATTCCCTTTTTATCCTTTTTACTAACTTTTTACCATTCTTCTATTTAAGTATGTAATTATCATATATTTATACATTAACCCCTCATTTAATATTTTGACATTTCACACATACAAACTAAAATACATCATTTTAATATGTATTTTCACGCATTTAACTAATTAAAATACAATAATCAATATTTCACAAATACAAGCTAAAACCACATAAATTTTAAATATTACAATAATATTATAATACTTTGTACTTCATTAATGAAGTACTACTTAAACTTAAAGCAATATTGTATTAGTTCAGACCTGATCACATCAGTTCAGACAAGACCAGACCAAATCATACCGGACCAGATCAGACCAGCAAATTACAGTCCAAGTAAAAACATCCTAATTTGTTGTTCTAAAAATGGGTAAAAAGTATAACAACCAAAAGTTTGGGTCACATTTGAAATAAAAAAATTAAAAAAAAGATGGTGTAGGGGATGGTGTGCGCCATATATGGCGTAAACCCAAACTCCCTCCCCCATTTTGGTGAGATGGTGTGAAGAATGGTGTAGCTATTGGAGCAAGTTTTTGGCAAATACACCATTTTGGTATGTGATTTGGTGATCTATTGGAGAAGCTCTTATACCGTCCCATAAAATAGTTTTCACTATTATTTAAATCAAAGTTTAAGAAAATGGGAACAAAGTGGAAATGTATGGTCGTAGTTGAGTAAGAAAAAGGTAAATAAACTTAGCCACACAAAAAGGAAACCGAGAACTATTTTGCAGGACGGAGAGAGTATATACGTAGTATATAGATAGGTAGATAGATAAAAATCAAATAGAAAGTGCTTCTGGTTTAGAAAATACTCTCCCTGTCCCTTAAAGCTGTGACTGAGATTTATGCAAAAGAGAAAGTTATCGGTAACTACAAATTCTTTGATTAAAAAGGAAAGTGACAAAGTTAGTCAGACTACCAACTATAAGGAGGGAAAGTTGTCCAAGTTTTAAGAGACATAGGTAGTACAAGCTAATCAGGGCCAACTATTTGAAAGGTCTAATTGCTGAAAAACTAAATTAATAATAAAACTAAATTTATTCATATTCAAAATTATTAAACTAAAGCCAATTTCCAAAAAAGTGATCATTTTTATAAAAAGATAAAAATGTGACTTAGAAGATCACATATTTGGAAAAATATGATGTCACTGTCGGATTTTTATGTCACTGTTGTATGTCACTACCGGATTTTATGTCATTTTTGAAATGTCACTACCGATTTTCACATAACTTTTAGATGTCACTATATCGGAAAACGTGTCATTGTGTCGCCATAAAATTTTCCGACGACTTTTCCCCATCAAAATTTTTGCCGGAAATCGTCACCCCCGCCGCCATTGTGTGAGACCGCCTACAGCCCCTTACCGCAGCCCCCTCCACGGCTACCCCAGGCCCCTCCGCAGCACCCCAGCCCCACCCTGCACCCCAGCCCCACCCTGCACCCCAGCCCCCTCCCCGGCACCTCGGCCCCCTCCCCTGCTCCCCTAACCCCTCCACAGCTTCCCAGCCCCTCCCCTGCTCTCTTAGCCCCCTCCCCTTCTCCCTCAGCCCTCTGTGAGTCGCTGCATCCCCAACAAGCACAACCCTGCGTTGCCCCCAGTCCCCTAGCCCCTCAGCGACACGCCCTAGCCCCAACAGCCCCCACTCGCCACAACCTCCACACGAACCATCGCCAGATCTGAAATCACCGTCAGCTTTCGGAACCCTAGCACTAATAATCACCGCCGTCGATGTACTGGATGACAAGGATGAAGCTAGCGAACAACGATGACGGCGAGGCGAGTCCAGGCGCCACGATGTGCGACGAGTCGAAGCGCGAAAGAGATGTGGCGAGGCGCAACGAGGCTTGGCGAGGTGCGGCGTGGCGGCGAGGCGAGACGTGGCGAGAGGTGGGGCATGGCGGCGAGGCGCGGCTGGGCAATAGAGATGGAGAGCGTGATGGGCAGGTTGGCGCAGGCGCGCATCAACGGAGGAGAGCTCGATAAGTGATTGTGAATAGAAGAGAGAAGCACAAAGGGTTGGGGCGGATCTATGGATTGGGGGAGAGATAAAGGTCACTTTTGTGTCCAGCTTGAAAATAGTACTCCTTAATATTTTTGTCTTCTCAAACTCTCTAAGTAATACTTTTGTCATTTTTTCATTTTTTATTTGTAAAAGACATACAATCATGGTGTGATATTTACTTTTTATATAAAGCTCGGGGTATATAGACTACATATGTAAGTTTGGGGTAATTATCTCGCACTCTATTAAAATTTGAGGTATTTAAACTATTTCCCAATAGTAATATGGGATACTTAACAATTTCGTTTCATTTTCCTTATATGTTTAGGCTGAAGTGGTCATTCTGAGCCAATTGAAACATCCCCATTTAGTTAAATTGATCGGGTATTGCTGGGAAGATGAGCACAGGCTTTTGGTTTATGAGTACCTGCCCAGAAGAAGCCTGGAGACCCAATTATTTCGAAGTAAGAATATCTATATACAAACTCCCCCACCTTTAAGCTTATAATTTCACTTCACGTATTAAATAGTAATTTATGTATGGTTCTATTAATTCATTCGTACTTTAAAAATTGACTTTTAATGAGCAATGATCATAATAGTAATATAATGACTATGATAGTGTTCGATTTTGCACTTAAGTTGTCATGGCAATATATTTATAGTTATTGTACACACATTTGAATAAATTTTATTCCAGTAATACTTTAGGAAAACTCCACAAATTCAATATCAACTAAATTTCACCTTCTTAAAGTTCATTGATGAGAGATTTCATTTTCCCAAACATAAAAACTTTTCGTAAAGTACACTTTAACTAAGTCAAGAACCATTTATTTTGCGTTTTTGTGGTTATTAAACTTATTGTTGGCAGAATCCAATTTGGGAGTCATAGTATAAGAACATCCTTATCATTTCATGAGATTGTTAGGTGAGATTGTTAGAGGATGATGATGTTTGTGATGTGATTCAATATTAAGAGCTTGGTTGATTGAGAGAGATCATTAGGTATTTAATTAAAATTAGAGAGAATTCCCTAAATAGTAGTAAAAAAGTTTTGAAATTCCAAAATAGGACTATCATGTTTTTTATTACTTGAATAAGAGTCAATGTATGACAAGTTTGACATTACTAGGCTTTAAAACATGACAGTTTTTTCCAAACTTGGCAGATTACTCCTATTCAGAGAATAAAAAACATGACACTCATATTTTGGAATTTCAAAACGTTTTTGCTCCTATTTAGAGCAATTTGTATTAAAATTATTGGCTAGAGATTAGTATCACTAATCAAGAAAATCAACGCTAACAAACTTTTGTTTATCGGATGGAGTATTTGTAGTATTTGTGTAGTCAAACAGTCTTGGCTACTTGTAGAAAATTATATCAGTACTACTTGTTTAAAATATTTTCCATCATTTGTAACGGAGCCAAAGATTCATTATTTTTTGACTTGAGATTATGATGGAATAAAGCAAAATGGCTCACTAAACTGTCTGCGCTTCTTTGTTATGGAGCAACAGTCAGTCCATGCAATCTTGGACGCGATTTTCACTATGGGTCATCCGGAAACAGTCTCTCTGTGCTTTAGTACAGGGGTAAGACTGCGTACATCCGACCCCCCCTTACCCCACCGTAGGTGGGAGCCTTTGCGGCACTGGGGTAAATGAAAATGAAAATGACTACTTGTTTAAAATAGATAAGTCTTCATCAAGGTAGTCAAAAGCGCTCGCCCCAGCGCTTAAGCGCACCAGACGCAGCGAGCAGGGCCTTCAGCGCTTGGGAGAAGGGGAGGCGCACGTACCTGGGTCAGGCGCAGAATAAGCGCATTAAGCGCATGAAGCGCAGGAGGCGCACGCCTGGCTCGCCTGATCCAGAAAAGGCTGACAAGCCTTTTTTTGGGTTTAAAACTTTAAAAAATAATTAGCCCATATCTTTAATAACACTCAGCCCATCTAAATAATAGCATAAAACCATTTAAACCTACGTAAAAGCTTTAAGTAAAGTACGTAAAAACTTAAAACCTCGCGACTAAGTTATATCACTAGTCATCATCGGCTCTTCAACCTACTCACTCTTCTGACTCAGTTGCTCTACACCAGCCAGTTCTTTCAGTTTTCTTCATCATCTTAAGCAAACTCAGTTCTCCCTCACACCACTAAACAAGATATGTGTTCTTCTTCATGCAGTCTTCTTCATCCAAATACTCTTATAGTATATTTCTATGTATATAATAAAGTACTAGTATATTACTATGTATATATTATATAGTCATAATATATACATTACTATATTACCCTATATTACTCACAACATTACTATATTGCTTTGTATATAATAGTCATAATACTCTATTACTCTATGATACTCACAGCACTAGTATATTGCTATGTTATTAATAAAGTAATAGTACTATGTAGGCTCACAAGTTTAACAAGGGGAAATAGGCTTCAATTTGATTGTCTTTTATTTATAGTTTTAGTATTAAAGCCATGAATTCTGAATTTAGTGTTTTATTTTTTGTAAATCATGACTTTATTTTGGTGAATCCTGGATTTTATATGCATTTGGTTCAATATGATGTGACATACATCATATTTGGTAATTATAGAACAGTATATGTTATTTTATCTAAGTAATGCGCTTCACCCGAGTCAGGCGAGCGCTTTATTTGCGCCTTGCGCCTCAGGCGCTGGAAGGCCCCTAGCGCTTCAAGTGCGCCTTTGGACTTTGACTACCTTGGTCTTCATTAGAACTAAATATTACCAAGCACTCAATTTAAATATCTTTTGATACCATGGTCGTGTGATATAAATGGCAGAGTATTCCACTTGCTTGCCATGGCTGACTCGAATAAAAATCGCAGTCGGGGCTGCAAAGGGCTTGGCTTTTCTCCACGGGGAAGAAGAACCCATTATCTATCGCGACTTCAAGGCTGCAAACATTTTACTCGACTCTGTAATTTTACTTGACTAAATCTCTCTCCCCTCCCCATTTAATGATGTGCAATCTTGGAATAGGTAACATATACGGAGTATATAAGAAATTGCTCTTAACGGGTTAATACACATAATAATTTCAGGATTACGTTGCAAAGCTTTCTGATTTCGGGCTAGCAAAGGATGGTTCGGGAAGAGATGAAGGACTTGTCGCAACTCGTATCATGGGCACCAAAGGTTATGCAGCCCCGGAGTATGTTAAATCAGGTGAAAATAATGTTAATATATCCATATCAAACTAATGTAAATTATCGAATTAAAACGCATCTCTAATGCTCTTTTGTAATTGTTTCTACCATAGGCCAATTGACAACTAAGAGCGATGTATACAGCTTCGGGGTGGTTCTATTAGAACTCATTACAGGATGTCGTAGCGCAGACAAATGGAGTCTTAGTAACAAGCAGGACTTGGTGAGTTGGGCTAAGCCTATGCTGAAGGACTCACGCAAGCTCGACAGGGTCATGGACCCGAGGCTCGAATTTGAGTACTCATTCCGTGGTGCCAAGATGGTGGCTGCATTGGCTCACCGGTGTCTGAGCCACTGCCCGAAGTCCAGACCGACAATGAACCATGTGGTTAAGACATTAGAGGCGGTCTTGGACTTGAAGATAATACCACCAATTGCTCCTTTTGTTTACATCGTCCCTTCTGATCATATAGAAGGACCAAATAGTACAGAAAAAATGCATGGAGATAAAAGAAAGAAAGAAAATCAGGAGAATGGCTGTTCCTTTGGGATTGAGGGTTCTTTTACTTATTCTGATACTAGTTTATACGTAGCTTTTAGGAAAGAGCTAAAATGTGGAGCTAATAAGCACAAGGAGCAAAGGAGAGTAAATCCCAATATTTGATGATGAGTCGATAATCCACCCTCAATTGGTGGTAAATAGTATATGTACGTAATTTGTAAAATGTAATTATTCATTATAGTTTAAATATAATTCAATACACCCAATAAGAGTAATATATATACTTCAATTCTAAATATCACTTGCCTGACATCAAGAATCATTTTTTTTCTTGAACCTTTGTTACTTCATCCGTCTCTCTGTTTGGCATTGATAACATTCATGTCAGTCGATCCCAAATTCTTTTGAGATTAAGGCTTGGATGTTGTTGTTGTTGTTGTTGTAACCTTTGTTTTCATAGTAGCCTTGATTTAAACAGGGCGGAGGCAGAATGCAAGGCCAGGAGGGCAAAACTGTCAACATTAGGGATGGACTCGGGTCCGGGCCGGGTCCGGGCGGGCCGGCGGGTCAGAAATGGTGGACCCGGGACCGGCCCGGGTAACCACCGGGTCCGGGCCGGGCCGGGCCGGGCCCATTAATTTTTTTTTTGTTTTCCTCTTCCTAATTAACCCCCCTCCCACCCCCAACCCCCCAAACCACCCCAAATGGCCCAAAATACCCAGCCCAACCCGAAAATTTAAAAAAAATTGAAAAATAAATAGTTTTTGACCCGAACCGGGCTCGGGCCCGGCCGGGTCGGGCCTTGTTTTGGGTGACCCGAGCCCGGACCGGAAAACCTACGGGCTGGGCCTACCTGGACCGGTCACTGACCGGACCACCGGGTCGGGCCGGGCCGGAACAGTACCGGTCCCGGGCCAGTTCCGGGTGGGGCCACCTGGCCCGAGTCCATCCCTAGTCAACATACATGTTTAGTAGCTTGTACACAAAAATTTTCAGAAAAACAACCATCAAAATAAAAATACACTGTGTAATTAAGTGTGTAATACGTTTTTATCTTACGTGTTATGTTAGGCATGGACCGGCCCAGGGCCGGGTCTAAGCGGGCTTTTTTTCCAAATAGTTGGGCCCGGAATCGGCTCGGGTATAAACCGGGTCCAGCCCAGGCCCGGTTCTATGTTTTTTTTTTGCTTTCTAATTAACCTCCGACCCCCCCTTCCCTTCACCCCCACCCCCCAAACCCCCCCAAAACACCCAGCCCTAACCAAGTAAAACAAAAAAATTGAAAAAAAATGGGCCCAGCTCGGCGCTACCGGCCCGGTTCAACAAAAACATGGCCTGAGCCCGGCCCGCCCAACCCACCCCAACCGGGTAAAAGCCTGGGCCCACCGGGCTGGTCCGGGCCCGCACAGTAGCGGGCTGGGCCAGTCTCGACGGGCCGAACCGATTGGGTCCATCCCTATGTTATGTCATGGCATGCTATATAAAAAACAATAAATATGTTTTACTGCCCAACCCTCCCTTAACAAAAAATATTTTATATGGTACGATGCACAATGTTTAAAGAAGTGTTATAAAGTTTACATTATATATTAAAATCATATGATATATATGAATTTTTTAACATCTATGCATTTTGCATGCAAAGCAATTATTTCACATATTATCATACACCGCATAACTTTTATCTACCCAACATTTAGATTCTATCACATACTTCTTTGAGACAAATTTATATGATTGATTAGAGGAAGCTCCGGTGGGAGTTACCTAGGCGAGGAGTCTAGGGCCCCACCTCTAAAGGGGTCTCATTTTTGTACTTTTTGTAAAAATGTAAACGATTAAATAAATAAATAAATAAATAAATATTAATGGCACAAATAATGAATACTAATATGTAGTACCTTTAACCTTTGAATCACTTGAGTTTGCTAACTTTTTTATTTAGTTGCTAAAAAAATTGAATATTCTATTTAAAGTAAGTGATCCATAATGCTAAATTTTTATAGACGTGTGAAAAAGTTCTTAAAATATTAATTTATGTTCTTAAAATATTAAATTTATTCCCAAGTTATGTTACATTTTTTTTAGAGAATTTGCTTTTATGTTTTTCTTAAATAATACTCCATAAGAAAGTAATCATAATGTACTAAAGTTATTATAGTTGATAATGTTTTCCATTGAGAAAAAGAAAATTTTAAGTACATAAAAAACTACTATCCCCATCTCACAATTTTAGTATGTAATACGGAGTACTATATACGTATTTAGTTAAAAAATGAACTCCACTTTTGCGAATTGTGAGCTAAAAGCCTAAAATTGATAAAATAATACTCCCTCCGTCCCATAAAATACTTCCCACTTTCCTTTTTGGACCGTTCCAAAAAATACTTCCCACGTTTCTTTTTTAGACAATTTGTGTGACTCACATTCATTTTACCTTTTTCTCACACAACTACAACCATACATTTCCACTTTATTCTATTTTTTTAATAAGCGTGCCAAAAGTAACCGGGAAGTATTTTATGGGAAAGAGGTAGTAAAAGTAAAAATTGTTACTCCGAAGTTGGACCGCACACGGTCCAAACCAAGGCACAAATGTTTATATAATTGTAATAAATTCCAAAATACATGACGCAAGTTAAATTAATATGTTCAGATACATGAAGTTCTAAGTCGCCTTGATAGCTCAACATGATCCCTCTGCTCACACATCAACATACCTATTGGAAAAAATTACATGTTAAGAAAAAGCTTAACTAATGTGTCTAGTAATTGTGCACTATTCCACACTATAATATTGAACACTCCATCTGTCCCGTTGTGATTGTCTCATGCATCTTTCTTTTTTTGTTTGTCCCACTAAAATTGTCTCATATCAAATTTGGTAAGATTTGTGTGATACTAAATCATTGTAACATCATTTTTACTTTATTAATTCAATATCAATCAAATATATCCACTTTTCTTAATAACTACACTATCCTTATGTCCTAATTAATGTTAGTGGGACGGAAATAGTTTATTTTTAAAATTGTTTCAGATCATATAACAGATGGCTTGGGTGAACAGAAATGCACCTTAAGCCTTGGCTCAACGATAACAGAAAGCGGGATTTTTTTCGGAATAGATAACCCAAAGATCTCTTCCATGTTGAGATCCTCGGGCCTCAAACCACCGGGCAAGCTCCAATGGAAGCCATGCAAGAGGTTAGCCAAGCTAGCCTGAATGACTTTAAGTCCGAGATTGTATCCGGGGCACATTCTTCTCCCTGCACCGAAGGGCAATAACTCAAAGTCCCTGCCTTTCACATCGATATCCTTCCCGATGAACCTGTCGGGGATGAACTCATTCGGGTGGTCCCACAGGGTGGGGTCCCTTCCGATAGTCCCGACATTGACAAGGATTCTGGTGCCTTTGGGAATGTCATAGCCTGTGACCTTTGAGTCCACGCGTCATTCACGCGGTGCTAACATAGGTGCCACGGGGTGCAATCGCATTGTTTCTTTCACAATTGCTTGGATGTAAGGAAGATTTGACATGTCCTTTTCTTCTACCCATCTCTCCTTCCCAATCACTGGATCTAGTTCTTCTGTTGCCTTCTTAAATATCTCCGGCTTCCTTAATAGCTCTGAGATTGCCCATTCAACCATCACAGTTGTGCTCTCTGTCCCACAAGCTAACAAGTCCTACAATTCGAAATTGTTATAAAATAAAATTGAATACGTCTTTGGCAAAGATTCTTAATCTATTATAGTATTTGTTCTATGTGAAGGTCAACATCTTTGAACTAGGATGAGATTCGAACATGTGACCTCCTCCTTGGAAGTGTCACAGTGATGCCATCAGGCCATAAGATACTTGACTCAACTGAATATGTTATGTACTCTTTATTTTACATTTTCTATACTACTAATTATCTTTTGCATCAAAATAGTTATTGGTATTCTATTTAGATTTCGAAAAGTGTATCGGTTCAAAGTAATTATGATGCAATTGGTGCTTTGAAAGTTACCCAGCCCAATAGCGATCACCGATTTACAGTGATCACGACCAGTGACTTCCAACTAGGGACCACTGTCAGTAGTTAACCGACCGCCAATGACCTGTCCGTCCAGTGATCGCTTGTAATACTCATCATAGCTTAAAAGGATGAAAAAAAACCCGTATGAAGCCCTTGATTCCGTTCCTCCTGAGCTTCACTTCATTGTGAGGATTACCAGCAAGCTGGAGCAAAACATCCACCATATCCATGGCAATGAACTACTTACCCTCGGCCGTCCTCCTACCATCATGTTCATCAAGAATGTGCTCAAGAAACTTGCCAAACTTCTTGCTCAATGACTTCATCCTCTTTATGTTCCCCTGTAAATCCAAGAACGCGATCCACGGGATGGAATCTCCAATGTCTAGCACCCCATTGAGCAAGAACAGCTCGTCTATCATATTCTTGAATTCATTAGGGCTCACCACAGCCCCTTCCCACTCATTCAAGTAACTCTTCCCCAGCACCATCTGGCTGATCACGTTCAAGCTCAGGGTGAAGAGGTAGTCCTTCAATATTAACGGCTGTCCTCGATCCGATGATGACTTTTGGTGCAGGTCGGAGAGGATGGATTTCACCTCCTCGCTCCTGATGTATTCAAAAGAGTCGAGGCGCTTCGAGCTGAATAGCTCCGTCGTGCACATCCGCCGTGCTTGCCGCCAGTAAGGGCCATATTGGGACCATGTTATATCGGAGTAGTTGTATGTTGTGTACTTCCCAGCGGCAGTTTTAGGCCTAAACAGAATTGAATGGTACACTAATTATTTCTTCCCGATTCTAAAAAGTTATTTTTATACCAAGTATATATTGTAAGAGTCACATTATACTAAAAAAGTTTCTTTTTACTAAATATACATGTTTGTTAATTTTTTTTTGTCTAAGAAAACTCTGTTGGTAATTTTTCAACTTTTTTGGATGAAAGGTTAGTTAGGATATTAAAAATAACATCCAAAAATAGCATTTACATTGCATCAAAAGGAACTCAAGGCTAACTAAATCTAAATTAGACAAGCTATCCAAAGTATCACGCGCCCTCACCCCGGGGGAGGATAGAAGAAACCAAATGGGATAGGCCCCACATAAAAACCATCAAAACATGTCATTTTTTCAAGTTTTTCATTGTTTGTATATTTTAAAAGAACTAATTCAAAACTCACATTCTAGAATAAAATATACTATTTCCTATCTATTTTAGGATAGTTGTCATTCCAATCCCATTAAGCAAACTCCTATATACATGTTCTATACTTCTATCTATATACAATGAGAGAACAGGATGTTGAAGTTTTTTTTATATCAATTTCCAAAAATATATTCTTTATATCTCTTAAACTTTTGACATTTTTCGATACATTAATAAATAAAACGTTATCAATCAAAGTAAAATATATGACTAAAGGTCTAGAGCCAAATTCAGAATAGTACCTGCCAACGAAGTTGATGTCCATGGTTTTGAGGAAGGTCTTGGCCATTTCGACGGAGGATCCGACAACCACCGGGAAGGACCCGAACCGGAGCTGCATGATGGGGCCGTACCTTAACGACAAGTCATGGATGGAGCGATGGGGTAAGGTACCAATGAGGTCCAAGTTCCCGATGATCGGCCATGGTTTGGGCCCCGGCGGCAGATTAAGCCTTCTCTGGCGGAGATGCTTTGCTAGCAGAATGAGTGCAGTGGCCCATACCCACGCAGCTGCATAGGCAATCCATCTTGACTCTTCCATTATCAGATAATGGATGGGGAAGCTAAGGCAGAAAAAATGAATTAGATGTAAATTACAAGAAATAATCCTGCAATGCATGCAAGTTTGAAGTTAAGGTAATTCTATGTAATTCCGGTCATATACAACCACTGAGGCAATAACACAAGTCAGCGGCATTGTTATTGTTTGCTTTTGACTTTGAGAACGAATTTCCCGGGTCGCTACGTATTGGGATAACATTCTTTTGACCAAATTGTAGGCAGAATTAGGGGTGAGAATTTGGAATCATGTTTGGTCACTAAATTGATTGTAGGCAAATCAAACACAACTAAATTGTTATGACCCAGTTTGATTGCAATGTTTTTGTTAAAGAGACCCTACATATTGAAATTTTCATCCATTGAGCTTATTTTTCTATCAATATATTAAATTAAAGAATCATTTGCCAATCGGATTACAATACATTCAGGTGGAGTATAGGGGCAAACACAGAAAATTTATAATGGGAGGAGGGCGTAGACCAGTGGCGTATTCAAAAAAAAATTTCAGTTGGGACCAATTTACACTTGAACTTAGTAATATATTTCTCAAATTTTATCTACAGACAAGTATGTATTTAAGATGATCAATTTATGTTATGTGTGCGCGAAAATGCAATTGTAGATAGAATTTGAGAAAATTACCTAAATAGCAGTTAAACATTACAAAATTCGGTGATTTTTGTCCTTTTATATTTTCAATAGGATTATAGGGAAGAAAACACTCTTAATCATATTTTAGTTTTTTCATATGTCAACTCATATTTTGAGCAACATCCTGTAAAATTTTAGGTTCTGAAGGGGTAGGGTTGAGGTTGACGGGACAACTGCTCACATTGCTTCCACATACAATGGATATGCCCCTCACCGTAGTTAAAACAAAATCATTGTAGAAGTTCAATGATGGAGTGTATGGCCCAGGAACCCCAGGCCCACATACTTCCGCTACAACAATCGGGCCCAACAGGTCCAAATGGGCCAAGCCCATCAAACAAGACTCCTGACAGCCCATAATACGCAAGGCGTGCCTTCGGCCCCATGATCGAAGGCTTTGCATTCATGAAACCGAGTCCAGAAACATCACAGGAGAACAAGGCTTGAAAAACGAGCCTTCGGCTATTACAACCTTCGGGACATAATGACCCCCAGTGTGTAGAGCCTTCGGCCTTAGCAGGTGCAGCCGAAAGCGCTCTTCTCGACAAGATCTCATCTCCCACATGTGCTGAATCACCGGGTCAAGTACAAAGTCATATCCAAACCACCGCATTAAATGCGGCCACATTCACATGTCGGCGCCACCCTGGCTGAATTGACCCTCCATCGCTGGTTGCTTGACACGTGTACCCCTGTTGATTAGACCTAGCATTTATGGCTGCTATAAATAACAGCCACTTTCCATTGTAATCGGCACACAATTCATATATCGAATACCTACTCTCTCTCTTACTTATTGCTCTGACTTCTCACTGAGATATTTCTATAATATCCCTCGGATAAGCTACCCCCGGGTACACTATCCATCATTCAGTATTAATTTTTTATATATACTAGTGTGTACCCGTGCACAACACGATAAAATACGTGTTAAAAATTTTCTTAAAATTATATGGGCTGTGAATTGTATGGGAATTCGTCAATTGGAATTTAAATAGAATCCAATGGACTATGAATAGAGTTGTCAAAATGATTAGAAGTTTGTAAGGAAAGCCTATTTCATCCCAATTCACGATGAGCTAAGGATTTCGTTTTTTAACTCGATGAACTCACCGATTTTGTGTGTCAGTTTGCATGGAGCCATGGATTATAGGCATGGGTGGAGCCAGAGCACTGAGCTGGACTAGGATGACACAAAGAAAATTTTTGGGAAAAAAATTACGCAGATTTTTTTACACTAAAAATTAAGTCATTATTTTTTAATTTGGGGTGGGCCTTGCCTAGGTTTGCCACCCCCATCTCCGCTCATGATTTTAGGTTAAGTGGGTTGGACCATACAGATTGTGAGTTGCTCAATACAAACATATAATTTTGATTTTCATTATCTTCAATGTTGATTGTTCACTACCAAAATTATTTTCAATTATATACGGAATACTTACTACTCCCTCCGCCCCCCTATAATTGTCTCATTTTTTCATTTTTGGATGTCCCTTTATTATTATCTCATACTATATTTGGTAACATAATTCATTCCCTTCCGTACCAATATTAGGGGGGCGGAGGGAGTATTTTACACCCTTTTTGGAACTATTATTTCTATAATAATTGTTGGGATATTGGGATCCGGCCCAGTAATCCGGCCTAAAATATTCTTAAGGACCAAAAGAGGTAACAGAGCCCAACAAATACTAGACAGAACAATAGACTCCTGTACGGGCTCTTTCCAACTGGGTATTTCCCGTTGGGTTAATCCCGAACGGGTTGAATATAATACTTGACAATAAGGAGCGTCATTCATGGCTGCTAATCCGATTAGCCCAAAGAGCTGATGGGAAGCCTTGCAAGTGGCAAGGGGCGCACCTCAACATTGGTGTTGTCTGTGGGTACTTGAACTAAAATCCCAAGCAACGTACTCTACTCAACAGCACCTCAGAACTCGACAACAACATGGTTAGAATTTCATCTGAGCATACTTATAACAAGTTCGTTGGATTTCAAATGTGAATCACATAAACTTAAAAAGTATAAGATAGAACTCAAACAAAAGTTATAGACTTTCAAATAAATATACGAATTTTTTATTTGGATGAACAAAACTTTAATTGTAAATTAATAGAGAAGAAAAAACCTAAATTTATTCATAACTTAATTTCAAGATGAAGAAGAGAAAATCATACTTTGATTCTTAATATTTTATTGAAGAAGAATAATATAATTGAAGAAGGCCGCAAAGAATGAGAACAAAACTCGTAGTCACAAAGAAAGAGAAGGAGGATCGATATATCATTGAAGAGACCGTGCACAACAGATCTAATTTTATTTAATTAGCAAAACGACGTCTGGGATCCATGTGCTATGTATGATAATCTCACGGTATAATTTGTTGTTGTCAACAAAACGTGTGCCCATCATGCACTGATTTTACACCAACTTTCTTATTTTTATTTCATATTTAAATATTGGAGGATTTTTTGTTGTAGACAAGAAAACTATGCAATAGTACACATCATTAATATGGCCTTTTTTTAATCAATATTACTAAAGTAAATAGAAAAGACAAATATATGACATGTTTTAAAATCTTCCAAAAAAGTGACCAAGAGTCATTTATTCCTTGTATTTAATATTGCATTTGCTATTATAATATTCCTTTTATATAATTAGTAATTAGTCCATGTGTTCTAGCCACCCCAACAATCCAACACCGACCCCTGAACACTGCACCGCTGTTGCCACCGCCAGCACTGTCGCGACCGCTGCCGCCAATTTTGCCGTTCAGTGACCAACGACCGTCGCCACCTTCACCGGTCAATAACCCAGTGACTTTCACCCAAATCTGGTCACTTACCGGTGACTTCCGCCCCAACTCCGGTCACTGACTCCGGTAGTTATCCAGTGACTTCCGCCCCAACTCCTGTCGCTGATTCCGGTCACTGTTCAGTGACTTCCGCCCAACTCCATCACTAATCCAGTGAATTTCATCCAACACCGGTCATACTTAATTATCTGCACCGCACAGTGACACCGCCCACCGCTAGCGTCGCCGCTGCCGAGCCACCATCATCCACAACCCAATTCAGTCCTCTCCCCAACCCTAGGCCAAGCCCAGATCTGTCCCCCTCCCCTGCGTAACAGAGTTGCGACCTGGCCATGCCGCTGTGACAACCACCTCCCCATCCCCTGACCGGCGGCGGCGACGATGAATGATCAGCCCTTCTTGTGTCACTGCCCCCAACCAGCCAATACTTGACCCCACCACACCTTAGCCATCCCCGCCACGACCCCACCAGCCCTACCACCGCCCTAGTGTAACCTTAGCCGCCGTCGCCATTCCAGATCTAGATCTGAATATCACCTCTTCGCCCCCATCGATTATGTAAACGCCCCTTCAACCGACTCCCCACGCGCGATTGGAAAGAAATTGAAGGAGAAGAAGATTGGCGTAGGGAGGCGGAAACGGAAGGCAACGAACGGCAATAGGCGACGCAAAGGAGACAGCCGACGAGCAGATGATGCGAAGCAATGGCCATCTGCGCAGGAACGGAACTGGATGCCGGATCTGTTTTTAGATCTCCGAATTTGGTCTCCGGATCTAGAAAGATGATGCGTTGGAAGGATGATGCGTTGGAACGATGAAGTGGTCTCCGAATTTGTTTATTTAGATAGTATGTATGTTTTAATAACAATGATCATATTTTAGGAAAATAGAAAAAAGGTAATATTTTTGGAATTGAATAGTCTAATAGTAATATAGAGGCCATTATTTCCATTAATATTAAGTAACTATTAAAATTCCACATACACTTGTTATAATACTAGTTTTACGGATCAAATGTCACGTCATCTCAAATCCAAGCCTTTGATTATCCATTTGCATGAAATGATACACCATTTATCACATATTATTTTCACTATATGGAAAATAATATGATTATGTTTCTTGATATCATCTTTTATCTTCGTTATGTAAAACTATATGGAGTACATAGCAAGTCCGTATCTATTTTAATTGAACTGTTCCTTAAAATAATTGATATATTCTACAATTACTTTACACCGTATAAAAACAAAAGAAATTACCCTTAATGGGAGTTAAACATATGGAAAGTGCTTTAATAGGAGTTCTTTAGCTAATTTCCCCAAATAGGAGCTGTTGTCTGCCACCATATGTTATTTTTTTATTTTCTTCCTTAAATGCCCTTACTTTACACGGAAGCATTGCCACATAAGTAACCTGTTTCTAACCGTTTCTTCCGGTTGGAGATTTCCGTTGCGCAACATTCTTCAATTTTTTTCCTGCGATTAACATTCTTAAGCATCGTCTTGGTTCTGTTCTCTCTTCCGACTTGCCATTGCTTCGGATTTTGCGAATTTAGGTGTTTTCATTGGCATTACGCATACTTGTGCCCTGCGTTTTCCGCAGGTAAGCTTACTACTTGATTTTCCGGAATATTGATTACATCTTTCTTCGAATGTTCTTCTAATATTACTGAATGCTGATGATATGTAATTGTGCATATATGTGTTTCGTAAATTAATTCTGATAGTTTCAGTTTAGTTTTGATGTAATTCGTATTTGTTTTATGATTTTTTTGGTTTGTAAATTTCCTGTGTAAGAATTTTGATTTGTGTTGTTCAATTGGTGATTTACATTGTGATTCGATGTTGTTTGATTATCGTTTTAAATTTTTCCATAACTTCATTTGTTTTGTGTCATTGTTAGCTACTCTTTGGTTGGCATTAAATGTCAT